AAGGGTAGCCCTGAAGATTGGTATCCTAAGGTTATGCCCTTTCCCCCATGTTAGAACATAATACCCATGTTTTCAAGGACCACGTCCACTTATTCATTTTGACCCTGCCAGTGCCACCACCTAAGTTAGAGAAGAATTTATTGAAGGCTGGATGAATGAGAATTGTTTCTTTGAATGAATAAATGACACTTAGGTATGGGTGCTACAGTTTCGCATTTGTTATATGTCATTTTTTGTACTTGCTTTGTGGCTGGGCTGATGACTAAAAATGACTTCTGAGAAACTTACATACCAATGAAGGCTGACTGATAGCCCATGCATGGTGTCCAGATTTATCTCCTACTATGTTTTGCTAGTCAGTTCACTCACCTGATTTCTTCTTGCTTCATGTTTTGCTGAGAAAATGAGAAGTAATCAAAAGAGCACTTTCCTGTGTAGCCCCTGGGTGAATCTACCTGTATTTAAATTTTCTTATCGTAAATGAATTGTCCACAGTCCCTGTATAAAGGCAGTTTTTCTATCTGAGGTCTCCTTTAATTTCAGTGTCTCATGGAATTCACTTTTAAAATATTTTTCTCTGTCTTTTACATTTTGAACATGTTTCTCTATCAATATCTTTGTAAGCTACAGTCTTTCTTTAATAAAGTCATTCTTCTTGTCCCCCATGGCTATCTAGTAGCCATCTAGCTCTTGCTTTTGTTTCATAATTGTTCTTTGAAAAGTGTGCATACTTGCTATGTCCATGATCCATCACCTGATGTTGCATTTTACTTCTTTTTTGGGGGGAAGGATTCGACAGTAAACCCAAGGTGTGACATATGTTTCTTCTTTCCAGAAATGATGGCTCTCTTGCTATTCTTTGTACATCACATCATGAATCTGTGTGAGGCCCTTTTCGATTAGCATTGCCTTTCCCTAATTTGCCCTTTCCATGCCCCTGCAGAGCTTTCCCCACTCACTTTCTATGCATCTCTTCCTCCAGTTTCTCCTTACCAGGCAGGACTCTCCTGACCACTGTCTTAAAGCAGCAGCTCACCTTAACATCACTCCTAGTCCCCTTCAACCGCTTCATTTCGTCTCATCATGCATATTAAGAACTGGTACATCATATTGTTATCTGATTATTATTTGCTTCTTCTCACCCCTTGTTTATAATTTTGATGAGAAGTAACTTTTTTCTTCATTGTCACATGCCATACTGCCTAGAACTATGCATGAAGACCCTCAATTTCATTAATGACCTGAAGGACTGAAAAAATGGGAACAGCAGGTATGAGCCCAAGTACAGTGAGACTTCTTTTAAAAGTATAAAACTGGGAAGCCAAGGGCCCCAGAAAGTAGGCACATTTCCTCTGAAGATTTGGGTATTAAAGACTGAACAAAGTGAGAAGAAGGAGAACGTGAATCCTTTTTTTTTTTTTTTTGAAAGTGTGTCCTTCATTGAGGATAAAGAAGCAGGATTGCCTTTACTGCCACAATGACCTTCGGAGGAGCCTGAGGAAAAGAAGCCAGTTTTCCCCAAAAGTGGGTCCAAACCAATGATTACAACATAGTGGAACCTTGCTCATAACCCCCAGAGATGACTAATTTTTTCAGGGGAGATGGAATGTATTTGCAGATGAGTAAATAGTTAAAATGCCACACAGGTCAAGAAAACTCAGTATTTTGACTTGATAGTAGATAAATCTGATTAAGGCTGAATGATGCACAATTAGCAAATAATAAAACCTTATATCCATCATTGCATTTGGTTGCAAGCCCAACCAGCATTTATGGGAGAACCTGCTGTATGCTACGATTGCACTAGGTAACTTCACGCACATTATCTCATTTAACCTTCCACACACTGTTGGAGCTTCAGCCTTAGCATGGTCAATTCACTGAGGAGAAAGTCCAGGCCTGGGCAGGGAAATACCATATCTTCAAACCAAACAAACAAGAAAGTGATATCCGTTATTTAAGACTATGAGTATAAGAGCTCTCTGGATAAGAAAAAGAGACTTTTCTCCTGTTAAAACAAAGCCCATATGTTGCTCTCAAAAATGAAAACAAGCAAAGAAAAGCTGCTTGGATTTGTTAGGCAAAAATAACAAGATTCAGAGCACTCAAATTCTTAGCATCCAAGAAAAGACTTTGGGAGTGCTTAGGAAAGGTGTCTCAATTTTTTCTCTTTTGTTTGAGTTACTTTGTAAAACACTGTCAGGTATTTAGATTGGCTCTAAAGATAGTTAAAGATAACAATGAATATATAAAATTACTTATTTTTGCTGAGCGTGGTAGCACATACCTAAAATCCCAGTCTTTTGGGAAGCTGAAGCAGGATGATTTCAAGTTTGAGGTCAGCCTGGGCAACTTAGCAAGACCCTAACTTAAAAAAGTGGGAGGGAGGACTTGGGGTTATAACTGGTAGAGTGCTTGCCTAACATGCATAAAACACTAGGCTGAACCCCCAGTGCTGAAGAAGAAATCTATTGTAAAAAGTCATGAATAAAATTAATAGGCTTGTATTTTAGTTGCATTACTATATAAATCTTAAAACTTCAGTGTACACTCTTAATGATTCCAGAATTTGATGTACAATATTTTGTTAAAACAGTTTTTGTTTTTCTCTAAAACAGTGTCTGAATGAGACTTTCCATAAATCGTGACGCATCTTTTACCTCAATTTGGGACCCATTCTCAGTTTCTGCTTTAAAAAAAAAAAATAAAGAACCAGAGATAGCGATCCAGCTCCGTGATAGGATGTATGCTTAAAATATGCAAGGCCCTGGATTTTATCCCCAGCACTACCAAAAAAGAAAAAAATATACTTGGTAGCCCTTTGTTTCATTTTAGTGTATTTATTTGTATCTTTGCCTATTCGTGGTGACCTAACATCTATGGAGATATAAAACATGGTTTCGGGCAGATACAGCATCAGAGGAGGGCCGAGGGAGTTTCTCTCCTGTTAGCACTGATGCAATGCCTTTTTTATTTCTATTCCTCATATGAAATTCTCTGCAACTAATACACAGCTCATTATTAGATGACAAAAAATGGACTTATAGAAGAAATGTGTTTTCAGAGTTTATTCTTTTCCTCTCTAACAAGATTTTCTGTTTCTCCTGTAATACATGGATACCTCCAGAATTTAAGATTCTGAGATCATGTTCCATGAGTAAACATATTCTCAAAATACCAACTGGAAATTTCACCCAATAATGAAGCATGTTATACTCCCTTTATTTTATTTTATTATTACTTTTGTGTGTGTGTGTCTTTGAGACAGGGTCTTCCTATACAGTTCAGGCTAGCCTTGAGCTCACTTTGTAGCCCAGGTTGACCTTGAACTCGCAACAATCCTTCTGCCTCAGCCTCCCAAGTGCTAGGATTACAGGCGTGTGCCACCACGCCCGGCCTTATACTCCCTTTAGATGGAAACCATTACTTGATGTTCTGTTTCTTCCTCACTCCTCTGTAGGTTCTATTTCACTTTTTACCCTTGAGTGTCCTCAAGGAAAGCCTATTTTTCATCCACAAAATTTCAGAGAGGAATGCTGAAGCAGATTGAAGAACCTCACCAGGGCTGTAAGGATTAACCTAAATAGAGATAGAGAGGAGTAAGTTCATCCCTTGGAAAGAAACCCATAAACAAAATAGCCCAGAGTGGGAAATGGCCCATGTGGCATGTAATAACAGACTCAGCTTGTTGGACATACAAACAGGAAGATAGTTGTTTTCAGGAGCCAGAGAAGATAATGGTTGACAATGCACAGGAGGGCCTAATTGTCACATCCCTCCAGTGCCACACCAAATTCACATTTCCAACTCTAGGGAAAGAGGAAATTATGGAAATTCCTGAATTCAGGACTAAGTGACAAATCAGTGGCTCTGGAATTTTAGAATATTAGAGAGCCTGGCAAGGTAGATTGTAACAGTGAAACAAGCATGAACTGCCAAATACTTGGTAGGCTATGATTTTCCCTAAAATGTTTTCCTTTTTTGTTGTTTTTGGTTTTTGTTTTTTTTTCCCGGTACCAGGAATCAAACTCACAGCCTTGCGCTTGCCAGGCAGGCGCTGTGCCACTGAGCTAAATCCCCAGCCCCAATGTTTTCCTTTTTAAATTAAAAAAAAAGAATGCTTTCTAGCCAGGCATGGTGCCACCTGCCTGTAATCCCAGCACTTGGAAAGCTGAGGCAGGAGAATTGCCACAAATTCAAGCCCATCCTAGGCTACATAGCAAGATCCTGTCTCAAAAAAAAAAAAAAGCTTTCCAACCGGGGGAAGTGTTAGCATGGCTTCATTATTCACAAATTCCTGCCAACCCCTTAGCTGAAAAATTTGAAAAAATTTTTAAATGCTGCAAGTCATACTGGTCTCTTTTTTTCCAGTCATCTTTGCCTCAAAATATTTTACAGTACCCTGTTCAGAAGCAGCATGATAATAAAGGTTCAGGAATTGGCAAACTTAGTATTTTGGGGGAAAATCTGCCCTTAGTTTTGAGAAAACACTTCAGTTAGTATAGTAGCCTGAAGACAATACCAAAATCCTATTCTGGAATTATGTTTGTAAACAAAGAAGCTAATTTATTTTATTTATTTTTTTATTTTAAAGAGTAAAAAAGAAGGATAACATAATAATAGGGGGGACTTACCAAATTACAGACAAAGTGGTAGGAAATTATCAATGGTTATTGTTTTACATATTGTTATCTACAAGATAGTTTCTCAGAAGCTAATTTATTTTGCAAGCCAATATAAAGCGTTGTCTTCCTTGTACACAAATTGCATTGCTGGTAAGCTATAATAATGACATCTGGGTTTGCTTTTTCCTTTAACTGAGCCCCAAATAAAGGAGTGCAGTTTGACTGCAAATCAGAGGACATTTTCCTAAAACAGACAAGAATCTGATGTGAGGTCCAAGCCAAGGAGAGAAATGGCTAATCCACATCTGCGGGGAGGGGTATGATCTCTGGACTCCAAGAGCAGTTACTGTCTCTGACATCTGAAGATGCTTTTCCCCCTCATGCATTTTCCTCCTCTTTATTACCTAAGTCTGAAAAAAAATCTAGAGCCTGGATATGGCTGTGCTTTGGCAACGGAGCAAAGCATATTGGACTGCTGGCCTGAGACAGCAGAGAGGGCAAAAGTGGCCCAGAGAAAGTAGGGAAAGGATGGCAAGAAGTCACCATCAGGGTCTGTGCAGGAGCACCTAGCTGGGTCCCAAATAGCTACCAATACTATTATATTACTTTTGGGAGGTACAAACATTCCTCAGAGGCACCCCAATATTGTAGTGAGTGGCAAAAGAATGCACTTTTGTGCGTGTGTCTGTGTTGAGCTATATCCTCGGCCCCTTTTTTTATGAAACACAGTCTAAGTTACTGAGTTACCCAGGCTGCCTCAGCCTCCTAAAGAGTTGAGATTACAGGTGTGTGTAAGATTGTACTTCTTGCCTGTAATTCCAGCACTCAGGAGCCTGAGGCAGGAGGATCACCATGAGTTCAAGGGCAGCCTGGGTTATATAGTGAGTTCAAGTCCAGCTTGAACTACATAGCAACACCCTGCCTCCAACAAAATGTACTTCTTAGAGACGGTCACACAGCATGCAGAATGCTTACCTTTAAAGCCTAAGGATTTCAGGCCTGCTCTGAGTTTCAGCCTTCTTTGGTGGGAGTTTTGAGATTCACATGAGAAATTATAAATATGTCCATTTTTCTGAGAACACACATTTAAACACCTGCCCTAATCTTTGTTCTTTGTCTTACACAGTTTCTGTAGCCCTGAAATACATACCAAACATAAGCAGCTAAAAAAAAATGAAAATCTTATATAAAACCTTGTTAACCAGACACACTAGCACATATCTGTAATCCCAACTGTTCTGTAGGCTGAGGCAGGAAGTTCATAACTTTTTTTTTAATTTTAAAGAGTAAAAGAAGGATAACACAGTAATGGGGGGGGCTTACCAAATTACAGACAGAGTGGTAGGAAATTATCAATGGTTATTGTTTTACATATTGTTATCTACCAGATAGTTTCTCAGGAAAACAGACAAATGATAGTGAGTTACAGACAAAAGAGGCAGGAGATTATCAATAGTTGTACTGTACTTCGGTATCTTCAAAGTGGCTTCTAAAGAAAATAAAGAGAGCTACACATGAGTGACCTATTGAATAATCATTAACTATTCTCAATGGTTGTTGTAGGAAACACATAATAATAAACTTACATCCATTTATGAAATAGCATAGGAACAATACAAACATTACAGAGTTATGGACAGATGAGTAGGAAAATATCAATGGCTGCTGTAATACATGGTAGTATCTTCAAAGTGGTTTCTCAGGAAGACAGAGATATGCAAGAAAGATCTAACAAGTAGTTATAGCCTAAGGGTTATGAAAAATAGCGTATTACCTCCTCACCAGTGACTCCTTTCACTGAGGTGTGACGGCTGGAAGAAAGGCCAGGATTGAAGAGAAGGACCCAGAGACTTGCACCTGTGTCTAGTAACAGGCTTGTTTTCTTTTTTCTCTATAGTCATGATTACTCCTCCATGGAGATGACAGTCTGGCCAGAGGGAGAAGGCAGAGTATGCCCCGGGCCC